GAAGGCAGCAACTTCTTTATTGGACAGAATTTCAGCCTTTCTTGCTTTAGTGATTTGTTTTCAAATATCAAAGTCATTGGATAAAAAAAAGTAATTATTACAAGAACCAATCACTGAGCTTCAATGCGATTCAATGCATATCTACAATGACAAGCGATAAGCAATGTAGATTTTGGAGTCTTTTGCACATACCTGCCAAATCATTCAGTGGTACATCGGGTTGCTGCGGTTCTACCACATCAGAGACAATGCTACTCTTCTTCTTCGAAGGTTTTTTCTTCCCTGAAAAGGAGAGAGCTAGACTCTCATCCGTGTCAACAGAGTCATCAATGGTTTTAGGAGCTTCCACTACAGGGGAATCATCCTCATCACCTTCAACGGCAGCACTAAATAAATTCGTACTCTTCTTTGAGGGCTTAGAAGACTTCTTCTTCTTGCCCGAAAAAGTGATAGCAGCAACATCTTCATCGTGATCTTCGTCTTTCTTCCCTTCCTCGTCTTGTTCACCTTCATCAAGAAAGGCTGTACTAAAAGAATTGCTGTTCATTTTTGAGGGCTTGGAAGACTTCTTCTTTTTACCAGAAAAGGTGATAGACGCAACGTCTTCCTCATCACCCTCATCGTTTTTGTCCTCATTTTCTTTCCCTTCATCCAAAGCCCCAAAACTCGAGGCAGTAAATGCACTGCCACCTTTCTTGCTCCCTTTAGACTGCTTTTTTTTCCCCGTAAAAGCAATAACCGGTGCTGCCTCATCATCACCGTTACCATCTATTCTATAATCACTGTGGATCACCTCCCCGTCATCTCCTTCCTGATCATTTAAGGCATCAAAAGCTGAAGAAGCAAACGAGCTGCCACCTTTAGTATTCTTCTTGGAAGGCTTCTTCTTGCCCGAAAAGCTCACGACCGGTTCGTCCTCCGCATCATCACTATCCCCACCACCAGTCACACTAGACGCAACAGACACATCCTCATTATCTTCACCCTCTTCTCCGAGCAACCCGAAATTCGAGGCCGAGAATGCACTGTTTCCTCCTTTCTTCGATTTCGTTTTCTTTCTCCCTCGAAGTGCCATTGCCGGAGCATCCTCATCGTCCTCTCCAACCCCCTTCTCCACATCATCATCATCCTCCTCCTCCTCCTCTTTCGTCGGTCGAGCCCTCGCCGCCCCCTTTACACCCTTCTGCTTGCCGGCATCAGGCAACCTCTCCTCCTGAACTTGCGCCGCCGGCTCTTCGGATAAATCAGCCCCGACCGAGTACTCGTCATCGTCGATGACGACTGCCTTCTTCTTCGACTTACCAGCGGCCACAGGAGCTTGACCGTCCTCGTCTCGCGTGGCAGGCTTCTTCCGCCCCATCCAGATTTAATCTCCGACGTCAATTCGACAAATATGTTCCAACGAAACGGAAAATCGGTAACCGACTGGAAACGCCGCCTGCCGGGAGTACTCAAACAAATCACTATCGGAAAATCAGAACAATCGTCGAGCTAGATCCATTCGATTCGGATCAACAAGCACAGAACAGAACCGAAACGCGAAAAACAAAAACAAAATCAGACGACGCCACAGAATCACGACGAGCGACCGAAAGCAAGGCAAGATTCTCTCATCCGAGAACATACGAGAGGCCCCGCTCATACCTGTACGCGCGGCGGCGGCGGCGGAAACCGCGGAGCTCGCCGGGGGAAGAGCTTCGCGGCGGAGCGAGCGCGGCGGCGCGGAGGCGCTGCAGAATTTTCGAGTCCGACGTAGGGCAGAGAGAGAGAGAGAGAGAGAATGCGTGAACGCCGGAGCCGAGAGAAACGATAGAAAGAGTGAAGAGAGAGAGAGAGAGAGAGAGAGAAGTGAAAAGAAGAAGAAAATATAGGGCTGCTGCGTGGGCGAGGCGTTACACTGAAAAATAATATTTTGTTTTTATGGTAAATAAAAAGGATAGAGGGTGCCTTTTTTCAAAAGAGGACCTTAAGTGGACAAGGTATCAATTAAGAATTCAAAGTGCCAAACTAGTATCAAATAAGGACCTGAGCTCGCCGGCGGCCAATAATGTTCTCCGTACGACGATCGACCGATATTTCCAAGACCGGAATAGGGCCGAGCCCGAGGCGGTGAGGCTCGAGCTCGCGGCCATCCGGGCGAGCTCGCCGGCGAGCTCGCCCGGATCTGGCGAGCTCGAGCTCGCCGGCCATGGTGAGCTCTGCCCAGATCTGGGCGAGCTCGAGGAGGCCGGCCTCGCCCGGATCGCGTAGTCGAGGGCCTTGGCGGGGCCGTCGCCGGAGGCGATGGTGTCGCGCGCGAGTTTGAGGAGGAAGGGCCTGAGATCCGGGTTGTCGAGGGCCGTATCGGGCGGGGCGGGGCTGGCGGCAAAGCCCGAGGACTCCGGCGGAGGCTTCCGTGGGGAGAACTTGGAGCGGGAAGGAGAGGGGGAGGGTGCCATGGCCGGCGAGCTCGAGCTCGCTGAGACCGGCGGGAGCTCGAGCTCGCCGGCCATCCGGGCGAGCTCGGCCGGCGAGCTCGCCCGGATCCGGGCGAGCTCCGCCCTCGCCGCCCGCACTGCTGACCATGGCGAGGGTCGGCATGAGCTCAAGCTCGCCCGGATCCGGGCGGAGCTCGCCATGGCCGGCGAGCTCGAGCTCACCCGGATCCGGGCGAGCTCGCCGGCCCCGAGATGGCCGGCGAGCTCGAGCTCGCCCGGATGGGCGAGCTGCCGCGAGCTCGAGCCTCGAGCCCTCCGCCTCCGTCGGCGAGGTCGCCTCGCCCACCCGGCCCGGTCGAGGCGACCCTCGCCGGCGTCGGGCCGGCGACCTCCACCGGCCGGCTTTGGCCTACGCGGAGGGAAGAGAAAAAAAAAAGAAAAAGAAAAAAAACAGAGATGAAATGTACTATTCCTAGAACAGATCGTGCTCGGTCGCGTGGCGAGATTTGACCGGCCGGCGAATTCAAGCCCTTACCTGAGACAAATTGAGTACTTCGGACCCCTATTTGAGATTGATTAAGCACTTCAGGTCCTTATTTGACACCATATTCACTTTGGATCCTCTTTTGAGAAAAGAACCCCACTTGGGGTTCTTATTTGACACCATATTCACTTTGGATCCTCTTTTGAGAAAAGAACCCCACTTGGGGTCCTTAATTGGAATTTTCCCGAAAAAGAATTACCAAATTTTTATGTTAACATTTCGTTTTTTGGTCGTAAAATTTTTATGTTAACTTAGAGAAAGATAATCTTGATAATATATACGTTTATGGTCGCAAAAAATTTTATTCCGTCGGTAATTTGAACAGCAACGCCTGACAAGAATTTGAATCTCACTTCATACTCTAAAATTTTTCTGCCTAATTTAATAGTTCATCTCTTATGGAAAGAAATTCCCGATATAACTGGATATTTAGTTGCCTTCTCTTATTTGGTAATTGTTTTTTATTTATGTAATCGACGTATCCTTCTCCAATTTCCTAATTATTTTGTCATGTGAGAAAGATAAACGGGTTATTAAAACTTATGGTGCCTTTGGTAATTATTCTATTCTCGAAAACAATTTCTGCTCAAAAATGATTTTTTTTATTCCATTCCCGGAAACAATTTGAAAGCATTTAGTAACTGCCCAAAATTTCTATTCCTGAAATAGAAAAAACAGAAATGCATTTGGTAACTGTACAAAATTTCTTTTTACTAATAATATTTTAAAAAAATTTCATATTTCTTTCTTTTGTTTTCCTTTTCTTTTTTTCTTCTTCTCCTTCCTTGGCCCATGGCTAGGTCGCCGGCGTTGGCAACTGGCCACAGGCGAGGGTGAGGGCTGGACCCTCGCGACCTGGGAGAGGGCCGCCCTCGCTGGATCTAGCAAGGGCCGAACCCTTGCCGCCACCCTAGCTAGATCCGACAAGGGCGGCCCTCGCCCAGGCCGTGAGGGTCCAGCCCTCGCCGGTCACCAGAACTCACTAGGAAAGAAGAAAAAAAAAAATTTCTTTTCCATTTCTGATTTTTGTTCCCATAATCAAGAATCAAATTTTTTTTAATTCTTGATTCTATTTCAAAACTGATTCTGGGAACAAATTTGTGCCCAGAAACAAAAAATTTACCAAACAGATTTATGTTCTTTTTTTGTTCCCTGGAACAAAAAAATAAAATCAAGCACTTTTTGACCGGTTACCAAACAGGCCCTTAGTGTTTAACTCAAATTCAAATATAAGAATACTCTGAAAGAGTAAATAACTAATGTTCTAATTATAATGCCTCGCCAATTCAGTTCAGAGTTTAGAGTTTTGTTAGAGAAAAGATACATGAGGTGATAGATTCGTGTTTGTAGTACTAAGAAGTGAATTAAAAGAGTTGATTCGTGATGAAAGCATTTCTCGTTAAAAACTAGAGCGCGACTGCACCGACAACACATGCTCAAATGAGTCATACGCCTCTCTTTAACTCCGTTTGTTTCGCAAAAAATGAATAATTCTCAAAAAATTATCTCACGTGTCACTTATAAAATTAATGAACTAAAATTATTTTGTCAATAATGAAAATATTTTTTATTGACTAATTATTTCAAGCAACACTAACGATCACTTTTAGAAAAATATTTTTCAAATTACTCATTTTTCGTAAAATAAATAGAGCCTTAACGTGGATGAAAAGTAAATGCACATTGATGCACATCGCATAATCACACAGAGAAGTCGCATCATCAAATGTATGAAAAGTAAATGCACGTGGATGTCCATCTTAGATATCCCCATCATAGGAAAACTAGACATGGATGTCCACTTTTCGAAATCCTGTCCCCCGGTTTTCACAACGTAGGTCCATAATGACATGGAAACAACGTCAAAAGTTTCAGGACTTTGTTGCTGCGACAACAAAGTCAAGAAATCCCCGTACTTTGGTGACTACCAAAGACACTTACCGAAACCCAATACATCAGCTGATTCTGCCGTGGCGGAGGGACACGGCATACAAGGACTGCAAATAAGAATCGTAACGATGTTAAAGCGAGAAACACAATTAACACAAAAGAGATAAACCATCAATGCATCCTTAGTAAGTACGATCTTGTCAACAACGATGGAGCGATCACGGTTTTGCAAATGAGAAACTTCATTTCTCACTTTATTCCAACTAGAAACTCAAAATGTGCAAGGTAGAAGACGACTAAGAGCATTCTTGCAAACTTGAGCCCCGGTCCAGAGTTATAAAGACATCCCGGAATACAGATGATAAAAACAAGGGGGCCTCCTCAGTCACTTCAGTTTTGGGAATAATTTTGGAGCAACCTGCAAATTGTTCACGGTTGAATCAGACATCGTTTGTTGACCACGAACCATGCAAGTTAACCATGAATTCTACAAAAGGGAACTTACACATTTATCCACACAAAACCAATAATCAAAGTACTGCCCGGTGCAGTGCTTGTGCCCTGATTCATCTCCTTGGATCCTCTTCACGCATGCCTACATCAGGTAGCACAATATTCATGTGCCAACAAAAAACAAGAAAGGAGGAGAAGAAAAAGCTTAAAAACTTCTAATCCTAATTGATTGAGAATTAGCACCACAAGGCTTACAAGAGTCCTCCCAATATTAAGAAGCGATAACAGTGAAAAACTACAGATTAAGCTTTATCCCCCCGAGTAGAGTTGACTATATCATTTCATGGAGAATCAACGGTAGAATCTCAATAACAAGAAAACGAAAATGAAACTAAGCCTCATCAAGGCAAGCTAAGGACTGGGACAGACATCATAGAGGGCATTTAGTAGTACCACTTCCCATGGCTAAGTGAACAGGGGAAAAAAATTTCAATCATCTAAATCTTAGAGTCTCAGGGGCATATCTGCAAAAATGATGTGATTCAGATAGATCATATCTCACAAAAGCATTAATATAACCTTTCGGGCTTCAATAACACCTCCAAAGCATCTTGCAATTGAAAAAAGTAGAGCCATTACATTGCACAGATCTGTGACATCTAACTAAACATCTTTGATGAATCTTTGACAAGCATTTTCAATCTTGAAGGCCAATTGTCAAATTAAACCAACTGGCATCCTACCCAATATTCATTCATAAAGGGCCCATTCTCCAAGTTCAGAAGTGACCACAAGATCAAGGGGCAGACTAAGGCAATGATAATTGGCTGACTAGAATGACTAAGGGGGCAATCCTTGACTTTCTTATTGATTATCCTTCCTTCTTCGTGCAGACCGATGACACAAGACCCAAAGGGCTATGAGAAAGAAATAAATGAGAAGACCGATGATACCAGGAACTACACATCCAAAGAATTAACTATTCGATTGGAAAAAAGAGGCAGTCACAGTACTAGATGACCACAAAATAGCCACTGAAGCAAAGACAATTCAACTTTCATTGTACTGACACTTGACAGCTAGATAGCAGAAACACATCAAACTCTCACACCAATTGCAAAAAGCAAAGCACATAATCTGAAATGATTCAGACCAGCTTTTAACAACGAATATTATACTCAAACTATTTTCAATAAGTGAACATTATGTCCTAACTGTATTTTAAGAACATTCCAGGGAGTAAGAATTCACCACATATTCGAGCAAAGGTTTCACACAACTGTATTTTAAGAACATTCCAGGGTGTAAGAATTCACCTCATATTCGAGCAAAGGTTTCACACATTTCGGCTTGCAAGAATCCTCAAAGTACTTCTTTTGATCAACAGGCTCCTCATCCGCCCTAGATGTGACACAGATAGAAAAGGCATTAATATATATCTAACATCAGATTGTTAATGAAGTTAAATCCAGCCAAATTATCAGCATAGTATGACTTCATATAAGTGATTCTACAGCATCATAAATATGGCGAGAGAGAGAGAGAGAGAGAGAGAGAGTAAATGCTAGTTCCTGTCTATCATGTGTTTCTGATAAACTGTTTAATGACGAATGCAATAGCAATCCCAATCCTAAATAGTAAACAACTCAACGGAAGGATGAGAAAAGATGGATGATACAGCACCCATGAAATATCAGAGCTCCTTCCCTATCAATTGAGACTGAGGTAACTAAAGAGATACGCTTTTTGCACATTCATGAAGCAGTCAAACTGGAGAAACTTATTGGCCATTTTGGAAGCATTCTCCAAAAATTGCTCTAGATGCACATTCTCAAGATCAAGAACCAACCTTCTCTCATCGGCTTCTATTGCCGAAATGCATCAGACAGGTATTCGCCAAACTAATATCCACTAGACAAATTAAGTCTTGCAAACTAGCTTAAAGTTTTCAATATAGCTACTTAAAGTATCGGACAAGTTTTCCTAGTTCCATATAGGGAAATTATCTGTATATCAATCTACATTCTGAGCACAAGGTCAAACATTCAGTGTGTTCAAAGAAATCAACACCAGGATTCTTTATTTGGGCTGGTGGACTAACCCCTTGGTCAATAGAGTAGGCTCCAAATAAGAAAGCGAAATATTGGATCTTGTGGTTTAAGATGTATAGCAACTATAATTGGCAGCCTAGTATTGCAGAAACAAGACTAGTGGGGGAAGTTCCTCAATCGATCTTCAATTTTGCAACATTTATAAGTAGAAGTTCATTAGTGAGACATCAAACTTGTACCAACCCATCTACCCACATTCAGCGATTCCAAACCCAGAGCCCAAACCTATTCATAAGAACAAGTAATGTTGTACGTGGCGTAGGAATTGAATTTAGAGAAAATACAAAGATTAAACAAAAAATGATTTCTCCAGAATCCGGATCTAGTCACTGGCTAAAAAACATAAAACAGCTTCAAACAAGACTAATAGATCCCAAGACCTATGACCTCAAAACATCAGCCAAAACTGAGCGATCCATGTCATCATCTCACCATAAAAAATGTCACAACAACCAATCTCTCGAACTCCGACTCCTTCAAAGCAGGAGTTGGGAGTATTATTGCAATTCACTGACCAATACCATCTTTTCAATCCTCTGCAGCTTTCTTTTTAACTCGGTCTCGCGAGTTGCCTCATTCACCTTACTCTCAACCACCCTTTACTTTCTACTTCCCGAATCCTGATCACATCCCCAATTGCAAGAACAAATCACAATGCATAAACATGACCCAACGCTATCCATTGCCAAGTTTCCTGCCTTCTAAACCCTTTATTGTAACCAAAAGCAACCCCGCTCTACCTCATCAAATTAGTCTAAAAAACCATATTAAATTTGCACCATCGACCCCTTCCAAACGAATTCTATCGCCCAGTCATCCATTTCAACACCCGAGACGGCGACCAGCAGAAGAATCCGTAATAAGAACCGCAAAATCCGGCTTTAGCATGGCAATGCCGTAACCAACAAGTTCCAATTCATGACGACCCAGAGACCAATTCAAGAAAAAAGTTCAGCCAGAAGATAATATCATCAATCAACGAGCCTTCTCGATGGAAAATGGAAAAAAAGAAAAAAGGCATACATCGGACAGCATCAGAAACCAAAAGAACAAAAAAGAAGAAGAAGAAAAACCCAACATACAGGACAAAACCAAGTGATACTCACATGGTAAGACCGATCCCGACAACTTCAGAAACCTTCCTGCGAAAACAACAGCGGCATCAACGAAAAGGGGTTAAGGGGGATGCGGTTCCAGATCGACTAGAGCGTGAGAAAGCGGACGATACTGTAAGACGAATCGAAGGGTATCGGGCGAATGCTGAAACGATGAGACCCGGCTGTGTTCGTACCCGTTTCGTCTTCCTCGCACCCGAGTGGAAGCGACTCCTCTGCAGCGAGCTGAACTTTACGGTTTTCTCGTTCTCTGAGTTGTGGGAATGCTCTTCATACGCGAGAGAGAGAGAGAGAGAGCGAGAGAGATCTTGGGCCTGGCCGATTTTCATGGGCTGTTTACCCTGTTTACTTGGATCCGAGTGCTCTCGAGAAAAAATAAATGATTCAAAAAATATACATTTTTAATAATGATCGCTTATATTTTTTATAAAAATAAGTGCATGAAAAATATTTTCGTCGTGCACCAAAATGTTCCGACATAAATTGTTGTTGTTAATGAAAAAAATTTCTATTGATTAATTATAAGTCATACAATCATTCATTTTTCTCGAAACAAATAGAGCATGAGTAAATAAATACAAGTACTTTTTTTTTTATCGTCGAAACATAAGGCATTGCTCAACTTGCATACAATGACTTTTTGGAAAACAAAAAAGCAAATCTTTCGGATGTGAAGAGGTTATACGAACATGTAAGCTGGAAATTTTGATGAAGTATAAAAAAAAACACAAAGTTAATTCGGACAGGCATTTGCCTTTTTATAATTGTTGTTACGCTCGCATTTTTGCTTTTATTTGACAATCTTTCAAAATATGCTAGTGTTGGTATGTAGGTTCATCTACAAATTTTGTAACAATCTAAAATTTATAATATAAATCCGTTTGTTTCCAATTTTTGGAAAAACAAATACGGATTAGTAAAAATTATTAATAGATGTCAGTTGGTCTCCTAACAGACTTTTAATGGGCTCTCTAAGCAATCGACCAATCTCATGGAATGTGGTAATCTTCTCGTCTTCCGGAGATTATACAAATAGCACTCTCACGTGCTTATGTAATGGGACAGATTGCATAGGACGCTTACAAATGATAGCAAAGTATCAACTTTTATCATGTGTATTTTTTTTTAAAACAAATATGCAAATCCCAAAAAATAAGTAAATTTGAAAAGTGAATCAATTTGGTACAGCCTGCAGAGACTCGCTCATTTCACAAAGACGGATTTGTCATAAAATCAAAGTACAAACGACGGTCGATTACCGAATCTCGCATCATACGAGCGCACGCTGAGAAATCCCTCTCTTGTAGCTATGGCTTTACCAAAAGGCGGTGCATGTGTTGGTTCAATCATCGTATAGAAACCAAAACAACACCAAAATGTTGAAAGAGCATAAAAAATGCTTTGTAAATTCCAGATCTATATCTAAATCGGGATAGAAGAGCACCCAAATCTAGATCTAGCTATAGATCGGGAGAGAAGAGCTACAAAAGAGATATCGCTTGATCACAAAATCACTTTCAGATAAGTTGAAGGCGGTATCAAAGGAGTCTTGGAGACTTGTGGAGCGCTCGACTATCTGAAGCAAGCATCCGGAGCTGAAACAAGTGAGCAGATCTGGAGAGAGTCGATTCTGCCGAGGCACTCATGCTTCAATCTTCAAAGCTCACTTCCATGGAGGATGTCTGTTGTGTCGTCCACGAAATCAACAAAGAAGAGTAAAAGATAGAAAGATAGAGAGGGAGAGGGAGAGGGAGGGCTCCCTCGAGTCATTTAGAGAAAAACAGTTGGGCGACTATTGCTTAGAGAGGAAACCCTAGGATGTTTCTAAATGGGTCACCATTTAGAAATGTTCCTTCTTTTATTTAGAATATGTTTGACCATACTAATTCTCAGTTTCTATTGAGCAGAGTGAGCTGGGTTGCAATTACTAGAATAGTGGGCTACATGCTCCTCCATCACTCGGGTGGATGAAGGATGATAATGGCAACCCACAATTTTGTAACGTCCAGATCTGAACTTTTCTCAAATGAGATCGACGTTGTCACACCTTGAATACATCAAGAATGCAAAAACGACATGACCTTCCTCCCGAATGATGCAGCCTCAAACGCAATTAACAACCTGTTATCGAAATATATGTCTTCAATTATATAAATATATATATGATATACCAACAAGTTGGTAAAGGATCATAGTTTCTACAATTTATAAAAAGTTTATATACACTTCCAACTCAACTAAACCCAACAAATGTTATTTCAGGCATGTATCAGACTATCTCGACTCATGCCCCAAATTTGATTACCAAAGTTTCCCGTCGATATTACCCTCAACCTACTAACCGCTAGTTGAAGGACCTGAAAAAGATTGGAATGGAAGGGATAAGCAACCATAGTTCACTGAGTAGTGCGTATCTCTTTTAAGAATATTGAGCATCTACTATGCACAATTACAAAATCAAAACACGACTCATTTAGCCTAAACCCAGAATATAGTATACATACAAGATCAAAATGAGTTTTGCTCAACATGATTATGTACACATCAAACATTCCTTAAATTCATAATATCATAAGAAATATCATTGGTCTTGTTCATTGATTAATCTTTATCAAATCACGCGTCAGTGGTCCATTCAACCTATTAATCTTAAATCACATGTCAATAATCCCTTCCATTGACCAAACTCGCGTTCAAATATCTAACCATGGTCACGCATAACGAATTATGACAAGGCGATCAAGATTCTCCCTTGATTAGGTCTCCACCTATATTGCCGGTGGTGGGCCCACAAGAATATCCTAAAATTAGGAAAAATTATCCAAAAAGGCTTAAACATATTACAATTCAGTCCTAAACTTTTTAATTGTGTTAATTGGATTCTAAACATTTTCACATTTTGTCAATTAAGTCCATCAGGACAATTTTGGCTAGAAATCGCCAACGTGAACGCCAACCGTCCTACGGGCTCTAATGTAGATAATTTAGAACAAAATTGAATTTTTTATTTTTCCTTTTTTCTTTTTCTTTTCTTTTTTTGTTCTTTCCTTCTTCCTCTAGCTAGTCGTCAGGCCTTTGGCGAGGCTCAACCTTGCTAGTCTTCGCCTTTGGTCGGTCCTCGGGTGAGGCTCACCCTTGCTAATGGCCAGGGGAGCGAGCTTCGCCTTTGGTCAGTTCTTGGGTGAGCAACTTGGCTGGTTGCCAAGGCCCAGCGATCAGCTAGAGGAAGAATGGAAGAACAAAAAACAAAGAGAAAGAAAAGAAAAAAAAGGAAAAAGAAACGAATAAATAAATAATTTGAAAAAAATGTATCAAAATATCATTAAAGTTTGTCCACGTTTGGCCATGCCATGTTGGAAATCAGTAAAACTAAACTTAAACGCTAACAAAACGACTCTCACGCTCCTCAAGTTGCTTGTCCAAAGCGATTATTCAAAGCAGTTTACAGGACAGAACTTGCATGTTGAACTCGGTCGCGCCACAACTTATTCCACCGACCTCAATTTCAAGCGAACTTACGGTCAAAATAAAACCCTTTTGAAGTTCTAAAAGACTAATAGCTTAACCGACTCAAATTCGGGATAAAAAATGACGAAGATTGGCACGAAAGTTACTGGTTAAGTATTGTTCATCACGTTCACGGAACTTTGAAAATCTGTTTCGGGCAAACCGTAAGTCCAAATTGAATTTTGTAAAATCCTACAACTCCAAAACACCCTAAGCTATCAATCCCACATAATTTCTCAGCTCAACAACTCCAAAATCGGATTTTGTAGTTCAAGTTTCATTTAATTCTGAATTTGAACCCTAATCCTAAATATTACTATAATTAGAACAATGAAGAGCTAAAATTATTACTGGGAATTGTAAATCGAAACAAATCCGACTTGGCAAGGCATCGATGCCGTGCACACGCAAGTCTCTTTTTTCCTTTTCATTTCCCTACTTCTTATTCTCTTTCTTACTTTCTCCTTTCTTCTCTGTTTTCTCTTTCTTGTTTATGCGTAGGCTGATATCCACTTTTTTTTAAACAACCTCACTTTTGACCAAATCAAAAGATGATAAAGTTATATTACGAGAAAATATTTGATGGTTTGTAACCACCACGTCACCGGTCAATGTGGCGTGCGCAACCCTAAGGTGACACGTGTTCTTTGACATAGACATTGATGGAAAAGAAAAAATTACAATAGGAAGCTTTCTCTTCTCTGGCTGGCAAGCTGGTGATTTGAAATAGCACAAAGCAATAAATGCTAACATTAAAACATCCGCTTAATATTAAGGTATGATTCATATTCCCTATCAATAGAAATAGAAAGGTAAAAGGGCTTTTATAGTTTGAGTTTATATTTTATAAATAGTTTGATTTAAGCTCATGAGTAGTTACTATATTGTCTATATATAATTTTTTTCTCTTGTAATTGAGGAATGTAACATAGAGGTATGATGTCCTAATTATAATAGAATCATCTACTGAACGTAACCCTAGTTTAAGGATGAACTAGAATAAAAACCTTGTGTCTTGATTTTTTTTCTTGCTTTTACTCTCCATTTACTTGTTCTTGTGCGCCGAATCCTAACGCTTAAAACTCTTTCTGGTCGTTTCAATTTTCTAGAGCTTATTTACCTACGCGCGCTCTCTCTCTTCCTCTTCTTTAATGTTTCTAAACCCCTCTCTCCTCTCTTTTTTCAAGGGCTTCTTCACCTGCTCTCTCTCTCTTGCATTTTTCACCTTCGGAAGATGCAGAGGTCCTCTTTCGCACTTTTTGACTCCTTCAACTGAATTCGTTAGTCTCTACTTTTCCTAATTGGAGCTTCTCAAGCTTTACGATAAGAGGCTCTCGGGCATCATTCTCGTCATGCTTGGGAACCTAACCCAATTGACCAAGCTAAAGATGGGGGGAATTGATTCTCCGGGGTTATGCCGGTTGAGCTTGGAGTGCTCTCATGCTTACAGATTGCCCAAAAACCTAAAGAAAAAACGTAAAGATCAGCTCATTTTTTTTCTCTCTGTTCTCTGTTCTCACTCTATCGTCCACTCTCTCTCTTCTTGGCTTCTTGGGCTGGGGTGTGTGGCATGAAAGTAAGTTTCCTTCATTTGACTCATGTTATTTATCTCTTTTTCACCAAGTTTTGTTTTTGTTTTTTTGTGTAAAGTTTCTTTTTTGTTGTGTTCAGTGCAATAACTAAGGAGAATTATCATAAAAGAGTGGATATATTTCGACGTTTGGGAACCGAGAAAATGCAAATGAGTTTCGGATCACTCAGTATTTCGAGTGCGCCGGACAAGCCAGCTTGGTCAGGTTATGGTAGGATGATCTTTTGGTGTTTTACTGTTGTGCGTGAAGCTGTCGCTAAGTTCAGGTTATGGGTAGAATGTTCTTTCGGTGTTTGATTCATCCCTATATTATCTTATTATAGATAGAAATTACTGCTTGTACATTCCTGAACACGATTTTATAGTTCTTTGTTTCTTACTTAAACCCTTTTCTTTCATTGATCTCCTTATCTTTCTTTCGTTGTTTTCTTTTTGCACACTACTTGATTATCAACCAGCACTTGACATACTAAAAAGGATTGAAATGAGGAGGCACTTAACTTGGTGACTTGTGTTTAGAGTATCACTTTGATCATGGGAGTTTACCCTTAATTATCAACTTTGAAAAATAAAAGAGCAGAGGTTGGACAAGGAGCAAAATAATTTTCTAAATCATTTAGGAATCATTTTTCGGCGATAAGTAAATCCAATGGATTTTTACACGAGTCACACAAACAAAAAAACGAGCCGATCTTTTTGTTTCTTCTTTCTTTTCCTTTAGGGTTTTGGCCAACCTATAAGCTTGAGAATGCTCTAAGCTCAGCTTGTATAGCCTTGGAGAACGAATTCCCCCATCTCTAGCTTGTTCAATCGGGTCAGGTTCCTACGTACGATGGGAATGATGCTTGAGAGCCTGTTATTGGAAAGCTTAATTGAGAAGCTTCAATTGAGAAAAGTAGAGACTAATGAGTTTGGTCGAAAGAGCCAAAAAGCGCGAAAGAGCACCTCTACATCTTCCAAAGGTGAAATAGAAATGCAAAAGAGGAGGGAGAGAGAGAGAAGGTGAAGAAGTCCTTAAAAAAAAAGAGGAGAGAATTTTAGAAATATAAAAAAGGAGAGAATGAGAGAAAAGGTAAAGAAGCCCTTAAAAATTGAAAAATGAGAGGGAGTTTTAAGTAACAGATTAAATGTTAGCATTTATTATTATGTCCTCTCAACTCATTAGTTTGCCAACTAGGAAAAAGGAAGCTTCCGATTTTAATCTTTTATTTTTCATCCATGTCCATATCAAATGACAAGTGTTACCTTTTGAGTGGAGATGACTTGGCTCACGTATGGCGACGTAGTGGATGCAAACCACCGAATTTTTTCGCCTGTATTACAGACGAGGCAGACCAACAACTCATAAAACATAGATTGAGAGGCGAAGAACGAGATGGTACAAGAGTATTTGCGTGCACCTTTAATGGCAAGATGCAATGATAGGTACATTTGAGAGAGAAAGAGATGGAGAGGGGTCGGGTTTCATAGATCTGTGGGATTCGAATCAAGCATATAGGTGCTCCACTTGAAAGGACAAATGTTGCGATTTGGAAAGAGAGACTAGCTCCGTTTGTTTTGTAGAAAATGAATGATTTGAAAAATATTCTCCAAAAAATGATCGATTGCATCACTTGAAATAATTAGTCGATGAAAAATATTTTCGTTATCGATAACAATTTCAGTATTTTAATTTGATAAGCAACACAAGTAATGAGGCTTAATTCCAGAACAAAAAGGCACCAATTTTACCTCAAGTGACAATTCTGACCCGAATTTTTTTTTTTCTCATAAAAAATTGCCAACTTTCATTTAAGTTCCAAATCTGACCCGAACAATTTAAAAAATTTACATCACTGAGGCCAGATCTGAGACTTAAGTAAAAATTTGTACGTTTTATTGAGATAAAAAAAATATTCGGGTCAGAATTGTCACTCAACGTAAAGTTCTTTTTTTTGGAATTAACTCCCAAGTAATTATTTAAAGAAAAACGAAATAAAGAAATCCGAAATCCCACGTCAGCCAGTCGCGGAATGGAAAAGACATCCTTCGACCCGGCGCAGGGGCAGATCCTCCGGTGGGACCTCCGACCTCCGAAATCAGAATTGGACAGCGGAGGGGACAGCCCCCAAAATCTCGTCCGTCGCTGTTGCCGGGTAAGACGACGACAACGCTCAAGCATTTACTTCCCCCCCGGCACCTCGGTCGTCTTCTTCCTCCCTCTTCCTCGATTCTCATTCGTCGTAAAAACTCGCAGGCACCGTCCGAACCATCTCCTCTCTCTCTCTAGAGCTCGGTCAGGACAAAGAGCGTTATCCCGGGGGACGACGGCCACGGACCACCAGCCCCTTCCCCGCGCTGCGCTGTCGCCACGTGTCGTCGGAAGCTTCCTATGCCACCAGATAGACCCATCCTCTTCCTCTTTCACACAAACGCACACGCACACAATTCGTGATTATCCACCCACCTGCGACCCTCCTGCCATATTCTTTATTCGTCATCATTATCACCTCCCCTCGAATAAAGCGAAGAATTCTTCCGAGCTGAACCTTACCTTTCGCGAGGGGTTTTGTCATACAGAACACGCATCCCGGTGGATTTCAGACAGAGTGAGGGAGAGGGAGGGAGGGAGAGAGAGAGAGAGATGGACCACGAGAGCGATGCTCACCGGACGGATTTGATGACCATAACTCGGTTCGTGCTGAACGAGCAGTCGAGGCACCCGGAGTCCCGCGGCGATTTCACCATCCTCCTCAGTCACATTGTTCTCGGCTGCAAGTTCGTCTGCTCTGCCGTTAACAAGGTCCCCCTCTCCCTCCCTCCCCGATGATCTTTCCGTTCGTTTTGGATTATCGTTGGTATTGGTTCGAGTTGAATCTTGATCGATTCCGAGCCAGGTTCGCGTTCACTGATTGAGTTGAATTGAATCGAGTGCAATGAAGGGAATTAATTATCTTGGAAGAATATATTCCCGGGGAAAAAAGTGGAAGCTTAGGTAATTCGAGGGTATCGAATGATTTGTGAGCCCACCGTGGTTGGAGTAATTCATGGTTCTTGTCGCTTCTTCCTCGTTCCTCGTTAAAAAAAAATCTGTGCTTGCTGTGTTGTCAGAAACAGAGAAGCCCCTTATTACCGATGATGCTTGTTTCGAAAGCATCTTCTGTGATTGAAACTTTTTGCAAAGCTTTGCGTCCAGCAAAAGGTTTTACTATAAAAGCTCAATATTTGGGGCACTTAGATTTTCTTTTCTTTTTGTGGTAGTGTTGTGACATGTCCCGCTTTTGTGATAGGTGAATCGGATTTTCCCTATGTGTGTACTTGTCGGAAGTGGGTCTTCAATTTTGTCACACCCACTTACATGTGAGTGAACGTGGTGATGTATACTTGTGCAGGCAGGCCTTGCCAAATTGATCGGGCTTGCTGGAGAGACAAATGTCCAGGTGACTCCCCTATATATTCGCTTAATTGATTCATTATAAATCTGGGTTGTCTTTCTGGCAAGTTGGGTAGTTATGTAAGGTGCTTCCAGTTCTTTACTATGAGTATTCTTTTCTTGCTTGAAAAGGGTGAAGAGCAGAAGAAGCTGGATGTGCTTTCGAATGAAGTATTTATAAAGGCATTGGTCAGCAGTGGCCGCACGGTGAGTTAGTCCTAATATGTTTAAGCACAGTGCTATGCAGAATATTTCTTCTTCAAAACTGTTGGTTTCTGCAGAGCATTCTCGTGTCAGAGGAGGATGAAGAGGCAACGTTTGTGGAGCCATCTAAGCGTGGAAAGTAAGTGCTGACTCTCTTGATATGCCATTTGTTTCTCCAAGAAACGTGTTGTCTTCTAAAGCTATGCTTCCTGTTAAAGTAAATGATGAATCCATTCTCATAGTGCAGGTATTGTGTTGTTTTTGATCCGCTGGATGGATCCTCAAACATCGACTGCGGTGTTTCAATTGGAACTGTAATTTTTCTTCCCTTAATTGCGCTATCTTCAATAATTTCAGTTGTTGAAGTTGTTCAGCTGCAACATGTATTGTCTGGTGACCTTTTCTGGTTGATAGCTTAATATGTAGTAATCACTTGAACCTCTTCTCTTTCATGGAGATCTTTGGGATCTATATGATCAAACATGCTAATGATCCAACTTTAGAGGATGTGTTGCAACCTGGGAAAAACATGCTGGCAGCTGGCTATTGCATGTATGGCAGCTCTTGCACGGTAATTACGTATTTATTGTGTACTAGCTCTATAAAGTTTATCCGTTGGTTGGATAGATGTTATTCTCTTAGAATAACTGGTTATGTCAAGACTTACTAAGTGCTGGTAGCACTGTTACGCTGATTATGATGAGTGGAACAAAACTCTTATATGAGGACTAGTTCTTTTATGAAGTATATACTTCATGAATGAATTGTTTGGAGTTTGAAATATGAATCTGCATTGAGTTATCTTACGGAGCTGGGCTTGGTACAACTTGGCAGCTTGTGCTAAGCACTGGATGTGGTGTTAATGGTTTTACCCTGGACCCATCATTGGGCGAATTCATCCTCACTCATCCAGACATCAAGGTACGGTTCTACTGCATTTAATTAATTCGGGAACCTCCACATGTGCATAAATCGTTATTGCTTTGTGTTTTTTTTTTTGTTGGGGCCACTTCAGCACGATCAGTTGCGACCCTTCTGGTTGTGGCTGAACTGAGCCGGCTGACTAAAAAGATCAACTTTTTTATAGATCTGTTTTACCAGAAACCTTGTGATTTAATTCAAATAGCATATAACTGCACTGCATGTCTCTTTCCAGCAATTGTTGTTGTGCATTATTTTCCTTTTGTTTATATAGATTCCAAAGAAAGGGAAGATCTACTCAGTGAATGAGGGAAATGCTAAACACTGGGATGGTCCAACTGCTGAGTGAGTTAAATTGGAATTGGAGTTAGAATATCTGTTCTAGGTTAAATGCATGTTGCTTGATGGTGATGTCATATGTGTGTTTGTTTTTCAGTGAAAATGTCATATTTAAAGTTCACGAATCAGGTTTTCCTCCTTGACTTTAGGTATGTTGAGAAATGCAAGTTCCCGAAAGATGGATCGTCCTCAAAATCTTTGAGATATATTGGAAGGTATCAAGATTGTGCAGAATACCTATTTCGTGCGTTTTGATCTAATATCTTGCTTTGCCGTTCACTTATATTTTGCATCTTCTGATTGTTGGATTTGGCAACTGGTTGTCTGTCGGAAACAATCTCTCCCATGAAGTTTGATTTGTGTCAAGTACTATCATATTACCTGACTGGGGTCTAAACTTGTAAAAGTCGTAGGTTGGATTGAACAAATAGTGGACATCATCTCAAAGTTTCTTTTAAACTGGTCCAAGGAAATACAGCCATTTCGGTATAATCAGAAATTACTAGATGCAGCAGTCCATAGTCCGCAATCCATTCAGGGAAGCTTACTCAAGCAGGAATTTTCGTTCTTTTCTAAATTAAATTTGAAATCATAATTTCAGCTAAATGCCATGGGCTGAGCAATTGTGCCTGCAAGTTGGGAGTCCATTTATAGTTCATCTTTTGATAAAACTTATCTGATATGTCGAGTTATAATGACTGAAACTTCATCCAATTTCTAGATATATAGATTCGTCAAACTTAAGCTTGCATCTTCAGTATATTTTTTACGTTTCAAATGTTGATCTTTTTGGCTTTTTTTTAAAGTTTTTCTTATACTCAGACAACCGGTTTACGTCTACATGTATTGATATCATCCTGTTTGACAGCATGGTAGCTGATGTTCATCGTACCTTACTGTATGGAGGCATCTTTTTGTACCCTGCTGATAAGAAGAGTCCAAATGGAAAACTGCGGTATGATGATAAATGTGATCTTTTCGCCTCAATCAACTTGGCTAGAGCTTATTGTCACTTTCTCTTGCAATTGAAGTGATAAAGATAGGAATCCTCCGACAACTTATTCCTTCTTTTGCTCAAAATAGCGTTCTTTATGAAGTCTTCCCGATGTCATTCTTGATGGAACAAGCAGGAGGTCAGGCCTTTACTGGAAAGCAACGGGTATGAACTCTCAAGGTTTTTCTGGTTATTTTTCCGTTATTGAGCGAACTTACATTAGTATTAAGCCCTTTTTTTTCCCCTTTTGTTTGCCTCAACCGTAGTCTTCCTCAATCACATTTCTTTTTTGCGACCTTTGAGGTTTTGAACTCTTTTTGGATAAATGAACCAGGTGACACCAATTCGCGTCATGCCGATCTATTTCATGCTTCATCTCCTCTTTCCCCTTTTTTTGGAGTCATACTTGGCTAACAGCACTAGATTAAGGTAGTCCAGCCCCATTTAAACTGAGTTTAATGGTCCTGCAGGCACTTGACTTGATCCCAACCAATGTACATGAGCGGTCTCCCATATTCCTCGGCAGCTACGATGACGTAGAGGAAATCAAGGCACTCTATGCTGCTGAAGAGAAAAAAGAATGAAGTTGTAGTTTGCTCCTTTCTTGTCTTCGCATCAGACAAGACCGTTTGTCCAGCTACCAGGCTTGACGGATCATGGGTTCACAAGATTAGAACCTTCTATACTGTTTTCAATCTAACCAGATACTAGAATCAATACTTTGTCAGCAACCAATGTTGATCTTTGATTGATGAAAAGTCAAAATTACAGTGATTTGCTAGCATAAGCATGTACTCTGATATGTGCTTACCAGTTTACCAGGATACCTTTTTGGTAAGAGGCTAACGGCTCAGTGGTAACTTCATAGTTCAAACTACCAGAATTGACGAAGTGACATGCGCAATTTGCATGAAGAATGAGTTTTCTGCGTCTGCCTTCTTCCTGTTGATGCTAATGAAATTTGTAGTTTGTCTTGGGAGATGGCTTGTGACGTCGACTTTGTTTCCACAACATGTAGTTCTGCTTGCTGTTGGAAAATTTCCTACGCACATGCTGATCATGATCACTAAGCCTAGATGGTGCGAAAATAAACTCATCTCTTTTGTTATGTATCAAGAAGCTCAAGGTATGTAGCTGTGCAATAAAAAAGGAATAAAACATGTGCCTTAAAACCCCAAACTTTGTTTTTTCCTCTTTCATTATTCCATCATCGCTATTTACTTCAATCTGTTCATCTATGTTGCGGGAGTAATCTCTCTGTAAATTACTAAATGATTGAGAAATAGCAAAACCAATAAAAAAAGAGCGAGGACGGCGAGTATATTGCTTCAACTGTTTGGGCCCGTCCCCATACACGATGATGAAACTTCACTTGCATGATCATGAGAAAACTTATCGGAGGGCGATGTGAGTCAGATGTATCTTTGAAATTTTTTGTAAAAAGTTAAGCTCTTTTACTGGCCAAACAAAGAACTGTTTAGCGTTGACACGAACGGCATCCATTGATGACAGATGACATCAGTTATTGGACCTACGCAAATTGTGATATGAATGGTTGAATTGCATATATAAACATCATGGCATGATCTCAATGGAGGAGGTTTATTTCCTTCACACCTTGAAAGAGCAAACATAGACAAAACATGACAATTTTGAATAGACCAACAGTGTCGAAATCTTTTCATTTGCAAATGGGGTCGACTCAGTAACTAACTCTTACTCCGTGTCCCCTAACCGCAAAGATGCAGGTGGGTATCACATCGATGCTTTAAATTTCAAACGTTACAGTAGACATTTTGTTCAATATTTATTCAACTGTCATATGTTCACATCGCATACTTCAAATGCCTAATGTTACCGAACTATGCATGAAAACAACCCTCCGAAGCTGTAAACTAAAAGTTGCAACAATGCCAAAAACAATCATCAATCATTAGATGGCAAATCAAATTAAGTATCAAATCATGTCGTTATATTGACCACCATTCCGCCATAGCATGATCAGTTTAAAACCAAAACAATGACCAGGAAAGCCAGCCAAGGACTACAATACAGAAACATAAAGATGAACCATCACAGTTGGGTTGCCGCTTAAAAAGGTGCCCAAGCTTTTCCCTTCAGAATCATGCCGTCCTTAGAGGAGGAGATACCAAAATGACACCATCTCCTCTAACAAAGAGAAATGGAACCGTGCGTTTTGTAGTCTGAGAGTCAAGCATAGACAAAGAACAGATTAAACAGTGTCTTGCAACAGGGAAACGAGGAGTAAAAAGACGGTTAAACAATATTTGGAAACAGAGAAAGATGCTCTCATTGACTTCTATTTTGTAATAAATATTCCTTGAAGTGTACCCAAAGATTCAACTGATTGGCCAACTTCAAAATTGATATACTGCCGTTTATCATGGAGAATTAAGTAATGGTCTCTGACTTTCCAATTACCGCAAACCAAAATTTTAAAATGTTTAGAGCTATTGGAGACTTGTCAAATTTTATAAATTGCCGGCAGACTCCAGTTTGTACCGCAATTATATCGGCCCTAAACTTTCCAACCGTGTGGAGAAAACAAAGATCATGCACCATTTTTTTTCCAAGATTCGCACTGGCCTAACAATCATCTGGAAAGGATATGGGAAAGTCAGAGGACAACAACATACCCGTACAATCTCTTCATAAGTTTCATCATCAATTTCTACAGTAGTAACGACTTCCTCAACATCCCCAAGTATCATGTTCAAATGCTGATCATATGCCTGCAACAGATGAAATTTTCACCCACAAAGATTAGTGTTGGAGAATACTCGAGATGCTAAATTCCAGGACTCCGCATCATCAAGTTACAAAGGAAAAAGACACAATTCAGCCATCCAGGATTTTCATGCACATCTATCCAACCCACATATGGTGTAATTCGAAAATCTGACATTTTATCATGGCCATGCCGACTGCCGCTTCAAAAAATGGCTATGTTGACCTGATTTGTAGTATTAAGTGGAGAAAATCTACTTCAAGATAGCATCTTATTAGTAGCTCTTCTACCAACTACAGCTTTAAGCGCCCGAACACGCCTAACAACAACCAGATGCGACCAAGTAGTCTCTCAAAATAGGGCAAACATCTAATTCGAAACACACTAGCTTAGCAACAAAAGATCGGCGCCTACATTGGTCACAAAAGATCGACGGAATACCCATTTCACTTCAGCATGCCAAGAACTCAAATCCATACAAATAGACTACTCATTGTCGCCCTCGAAAAGATGCGCTTCCCGCTCAACTTAATATGATCACCAAACACCCATGTCGCGAAAGCCCCCCCTTAAAATCGGTCCATCAACGATCATCCTCCCAAAATCTTACGCTCGAATTCCAGCAAATTCATCAAAAAACAAAAGAGGGCGAAAAAAGGGAAAAGCCAAAGCAACTAGAACCCTGACAAACCCTAGTCCTTAACAACTCGATTGACCCGAGAACCAAAGCACAACATGCCTAGAGAAGAACCCATTTTGAAGCAAACCCAGAAAAGGAATTCAAGAACCAAGCACGGGTAAAAGGGGGGAAGCAATCAGAGGACAGGAGTGGAGCGGAGCGAGGTTGGATGTGCGTACATGGAGCTTGCCGCGGAGCTCGCGGTCGGAGCGGAGCTTGACGTAGATGCGCTCGTCGAGGCTGAGCCTGATCAGATCCAAAGGCTCCTTCACCGCGCTCTCTTCCTCGCTCGCCATCTCCTCCTTCCGCTCTTCCTTCTTCTTCTTCGCGCCTCTCTTTCCTCTGCAACTGCGAGCGACCGGGGCCGTACAAAAATTTTCAGCTTCGGAAAATAAAAGAGTTTCCTTTTTATAGGGTCGGTTTAAACAAACAAACCTAAAAAAAATAAATAACTTTTTGAATTTCACGATTTGTAGCACCGCATAATTTTTTCCCTCTCTTGTTATGCTTTAATAAAATCAGAAATTTGATTATTTGGATAGTCGTGCGATTTTCTTTTTTTTTTAACTAAATAAAGAGAAAAATGAGAATCGCATTTATCAATATGTTTTTCGGTATTTGCACATTTTCAAATGATCCAAATTTTACGTATGGCGAGGCTATTTTCACGATATATATATATGTGTGTGTGTGAGAGACTAAATCCACTCATTTTTTACTAGATAGATTAAATCGGGTATCCACATTTGCATATCTTCCTTTTTTTGATACCATAAAATATGCATAAAAATCAGTCTCTTGCTCATCCGTTCGATGGCATTAGTCTTTTAGTGGTCTCGCAAAGCAACGTTTCGTTCCCGAAATAATTTTTGATCGAAATAGTTTTTTTATTTCTATTTCTTGAAGCAGTTCGAGCAAAAATAGCGTTTAAGAATCGCAAAAAATTTCTATTCCCTGGAATAGAAAAAGAATAGAAACGCGTTTAGGGCGCGAATGATCCATTTCTATTCCATGGACGAGTTTCTCCTTTCCAGGCTACGGCGGTGGGGGGGAGGACGGTGGTCGGCGGTGGCAGAGGATGGCGGCCGACGGTGGGAGGCAGCGGGAGCACGGCGGCCGGGGTGGCGCTGCGGCGCGGACTGGCAGCTGGGGGGCGACGACGGGAGGTGGTCAAGGCGGAGGGTGGCCATCATTGGTCGATGGAGCATGGCGGCAGTGGCGAGGATGGCGGCCGATGGTGGGTGACCGCCGGCGTCGGGTGGCCGTAGGTGGGAGGTGGCCGGCCCGGCCGCGCTTCGGGTGGTTGGCTGGGAGGCGGCTGCGCGGTGGTGGCGGCCGGCGTCGGGCGATGGAGCACGCGGCCGCCGGAGGACGGCGGCCGATGGCGGGTGGCAACAAGCGTCGAGTGGCGAGAATAGTGGTCGACGACAAGAGACGGCCAACCAGGCGGAGGCGGCCTGGCGAGCGTTGGCCGTAGGCGGGCGGCGAAGGCGGAGGTAGGTAGGCGGCGAAGGATGGCGAGAGGCGGCGGTGGGCGGGTTGCGGCCGATGGATTGTTTCTTATTTTTGAGAATTCTAGAAAAAAAATCATTTATTTTTCTTGTTCCAGAACAAGAAGCATTTTTTTCTTCTTGTTGTTCCAAATCTATTTCGAACACTTTTTGTTCCAAAACAAAAAAATAGATTTTTTTACTAAACGATTGTTCTTTTTCTCGTTCTAACAAAACAGAAAACAAAAGAAACGTAAACGTTATTAAACAGACCCTTAGACCACTTGAAAAATGCGAGGCGGCCCCCATAGAAACAACGAACACCGTCGCACTCCAGATAAAATTACTAGTCTTAAAAATTAATGATGTCCCTTTGTGTTTGAGCTGTGACCATCTATATTGCTTTAAGTATTTTGCTAATCTCCAGCAATGTGAACTTTTTATCACAATTAGATGTAATATTCGACGAAGTTTGGAATAACCACGCTTAAGCAATGTGCAAGAGATTTGTTAAAAATACATCTGCTCCATTACGCACCAATAGGATTGTACAAAAAGTCCGATGCAATACATACTCGTGATTGAAGTAATATTAAAGATAGTTCGTATCGATATTTAATTTGATTCTTGAACTATGATTTTGTTCAATTTGACTTTTGTATTTTTTGAATCGGATTGAGCTTGTCCTTTTGGTCATAGCCCATGTTGACATTTAAGTTGACAATTTAACTCAATCATGAACCTACATTTGCTGGTAATGTCAGCAAAATTCGCAGAGAGAGAGAGAGAGAGGGGCGGTGTTGCCACCATTTCGCGGGGTTCTTACTATAGGCGATCGGCCATCATTAGTGGCCTCGAGAGAGGCTGGCCATCCCCACCAAGACACTGCAATGGTCATCGGCCCTCGTCAATGAAGGGGTGGCAGTGGCGTCCCCTCCCTTCTTTCTCTCTCTTCTGTTTTTTGATTATTTTTAAAAAAATATTTCCATATGGATGTACATCGGACCTAAATAAGTCCTTAAAAGACTTCGTTTGAACTCTGGGACGTAAAATATGGGTTATATCTTAGGGAAGAGGGAAGAATAACTTTTTCTCCAATGGGAGGCTGGGCGTGCGGGCATCAATATGTCGAAACGAGGAACGTAGATCGTCAACTCACCATATGTAAGCACTTGGATAGACATGGCGATCCCATGGAAAGCTTAGCTTTCCCTTCTTTGATGAGGTGCCCTCGGTAACCACCGCCAAAGTTCCAAGGTGGCCCTTGGTTAGGAAAAGGTTACTGAGGGTACATATTAGCGAGCACTTATGGTTATGGGGTCACATGTGGATTATCATGCCAGATGCCAAGTATTAAACTAGCTCGAAGGACGAAATCGGTTTGAGCAAAAAGAGAACGAGGACTAAATTGAACAAAATTTTGATTCACGGAACTACTTTTGAAATTTCCCGTAAATATAGTAACCCACGTACGCTCGTTAGTCGTATCGTTATTGCAGAGTTTTTCCCCCTCTCTCTCTCCGTCGATTCTCAAGATTGCTTGGCGACCGGCGACCGGCGGCCGGGCGGAGCAGCCTTCGCGCCTTCCTTTCCTCTACGCATTTTTCGAGTTTCGCGTGGGCGAAGCTGTGAGTTCTGGTGGGCGGTCGCGTGGTGGGGTTGCGGTGGCTCCGTCTCTGCGTCCATTCCCCCATAATCGCTCAGTTCGCGAGCTCAGGGAAGTGCGAAAATCGAGGTGCACCATCCTCCGTCCTGCGACTATCGATCGCTGCTTCTGTCCGATCAGCGTGCGATTGGAAAGTTCGGATTGTGTCGTGTTATCGCCCCTGTCGAGTCGGGCGAAGCGACGCGCCGAGGGTCGCTGAGCATGGGCTCCGACAAGCAGCCCCTCGGGCTGCTGGACACCCTGAAGATGGAGCGGATGCGGACCATCCTGACGCACCGGTACCCGTATCCCCACCAGCATTCGCGCCACGCCGTGATTGCTGTCGCTGTCGGGTGCCTGTTTTTCATATCCTCCGATAACATGCACTCCCTTGTCGAGAAGCTGGAGGACAACATCAAGTGGTGGTCTATGTACGCTTGCTTGCTGGGGTTTTTCTATTTCTTCTCGTCCCCGTTCATAGGCAAGACCATCAAGCCCAGTTACTCGAATTTTAGCAGATGGTGAGCGCCCCGGTTTCTGTCGTGTGGTTAAATTTAGTGTTTTGTGCAATTGGGGAGAGGAGGGCTTTGCTTTCATGATGTTGAGTGCATATGAGATCGACGATGGTTGTGAGTGGTTTTGAGGACGTCGCTTGCTTGCGCAGGTACATCGCGTGGATTTTAGTGGCAGCTCTGTATCATCTTCCCAGTTTTCAGTCAATGGGAGTGGATTTGAGGATGAATTTGTCTTTATTTTTCACGATTTATGTCTCCTCCATTTTGTTCCTTTTTGTCTTCCATATTTTGTTTCTTGGCCTTTGGTATATCGGGCTCGTATCTCGTGTGGCTGGAAGAAAGCCAGTGATTTCGACCATTCTCCAGAACTGTACAGTGAGTTATGAGGATCCATTACTTTTGGCTTCGAGATTCCGTAATGTTTTCCTTTTCTCTGTCATTTGTAATGTAATGCATTTTGTGCTCTCTATAGGTGCTAAGCATTGCCTGCTGTGTATTTTATAGTCACTGTGGCAATCGTGCCATTTTCAAGCAGAGGCCACTAGAGCGAAAATGTTCTGGTTGGCTCTCTCTTTGGAAGAAAGATGAAAGGAACACATTGATCTTAAAATTCCTGCCCATGAATGAGCTAAAGGACCAGTTTTGTTCATCTTGGTTGGCTCCTGTTGGATCTGCTAGCGATTATCCGCTCTTGTCGAAGTGGGTTATCTATGGGGAGGTATGTGAGAGAGCTGTTCAAGATTATTCGCTTGTCAGCTGTATCAACCATCACTTCATCCTTACTGTTTCTCTTTGTTGTGTTGAAGGGTGCAGGCTCGTCTGATGAAATTTCTCCCATATATTCACTATGGGCAACTTTTATAGGCCTTTATATTGCCAATTACGTTGTGGAAAGGTCAACAGGGTGAGTGGCATTGTGTTCGTTTATCCTTTTCTTGCACCACTGGATTCAATCCCATAATCTAAACCTAAGTGCCCCCGGCCCCCGCCCCCTTTACCACCTGGAGGAACGGCTGGTGGCGACATTGGTAATGAACAAAAGTAGAACCTTATCCCCCGCGTGGAGAGTTGTGATGGATGCTTTTCTAACTTAATATATTTCGTGGTTCTTGTTTATGTTTTTTAATAGCCATTCAAGGCCTTACTATGAAGTAATGTAGCCTGGTTATGATGGACTATGCTGACTATCTGTTAAATTTTTTCTCTGTGATAATCCAAGTGAACCATTGGGAAGTTGAAAATTACTGTGGTATCATACTCATACTAGCCTTTCTACCTGTTTATTAAAAAAATTGCCTATCCTGATAGTCATCTTTAGTGTTGTTGATGTTGCTGTACCCTGTACTAGTTTTTATTTTACAAACTTTTTTATTGTAAAAATGAGCAGGTGGGCTCTTACTCACCCTTTGTCAGTTGAAGAATATGAAAGGTTGAAGAAGAAGCAAATGAAACCTAACTTTCTGGAGATGGTTCCTTGGTATTCAGGGTATACAGTTGCACTTCTCTTTTTGTTTTTTTCTTCAATGTGTCTTGTTCTTTCTCGGTGAATAGAGGGGTTTCAAGGGGATCTTCTATTGATTTTTTCCTCACGCTGTTAATAGTTGTATACTGCAGAACTTCAGCCGATTTATTTAAGACAGCATTTGACCTCCTAGTTTCAGTAACTGTCTTTGTTGGCCGCTTTGACATGCGCATGATGCAGGTAAAGGTCCATTTTTCAACTTATGGGGTCTAATTCATAGTGCGCACTTCTTCTTGAAAATCCCTAGTTGATTGCCTCTTCAATCTCTTTCATCACTCTCTCACAAGATAGATGGCCTTTTAAATAGTATTGAAAGATTCTCCTTCGGTCTCTTGTATTTCTAGACAGTTATAAAAGGAAAATTATTAAACTCATGCATTCCCCAGTCTTAAGAACATCAAAATGTGCTTGAGTTGTCAAATCATATTTCATTCTTATCCTGCTTAGGGAGACTATTGGAGGAGATTTAGTAGCATCAGATATTTACGGTCAGTCGATATGTTAGGTTTTTGAATAAGGTCGTTGAGGACTTAGAGAGTATCTCTTTGCTTTATTTATAAATTGAGCATCTATATGGTATTTTAATTCTAGTCAAGATATAGCATTTTGTGTTTTCTCTATCCCTCTGTCTTGCGATGCTGAAAATCTAACTCAGTCGATCTTTTTCATCCTGTTTGAGTACAAAAGCATCTGTATGTATATAGCTAATGCAGTGGCTGCACCATTTCATCTTCATCTTTCTAAATTTATCAGGCAGCAGTGAACAAGGTTGAAGATGGAGTCGAGCAGGATCTTCTGTATGATCACTTCAGCCAAAGAGATGATTTTTGGTTTGATTTCATGGCTGATACTGGTGATGGTGGGAACTCTTCTTACAGTGTTGCTCGCTTACTGGCTCAGCCTTCTCTTTGTGTGCCCACCAGCAATTCTGTGCTTTCTTTACCTCGAGGGAATTTGCTTCTTATTGGAGGTGATCTTGCGTAAGTGAATCATATGTTTTTCTGTTCCACAACATGGCACATTATATCAGATTAAGTTACTTTGTTGCCTGCATTACACCCTATCTCCCGCATCGATCATTGCATCTTCGTTCAAAAGTATATCATAATCGATAGACTTGATGGTTCTTAAATAGTATAAGGCGTTGAAAAGAAAGTTTTTAGCTTTTTAAACCACTCTGATGGATTCAATTTCGTGTCTTCTGCTCAGAGTAAGTAGCATATACTCTCAGAGTTGATGCAGATGTAGTTGACAGTTATAAATTATACAGGTACTCTGACTGAGCAAATCCTTAAAATATAGTTTCTCACAAAATTTAGAATTTTGTGCTCTGTTGATCACAACTTTAAAGTTCTACCTTGAATTTGATTTGTTTGTTTTGTGAGTTTAAAACTAGGCCTTGCCTGTGCTTTTGTCTACTACTCTCAATAATAAATCTAGTTGGACAAGAAAATTGTTTCTTCAGTCATAATAAATCAGAAACCTTTTCAAACTTTTTCACTCCAAATGTGGCATATGAACTTTTCTGGATCGGTTTTATATGTCATTCCATTTAGACTGACCTCTCTGCATTTGCTTTTCTAGTGAGATTTTGACTATAGAATTATGCTACTTTCAAGTAGAGATCAGATCACATGCTAATTTAGTTTCTGATTGACTTACTGGGGACCAAAGTTGACACCTGAAATAATTGTAAAACCACACCTGGACGCGGAAACACTAAAAGTTCAGCTATATTCTTGAATTGTATTCTGTTTTCTTATTGTTTCGATAGACGTATTTATTGCTTCTTGCCATTGTGAGACGATATTGTGTGATGTGCAAGGAAACTCGTTAATAAGTTTGTTTATCTTATTCTTGCAGCCCCCTAAGCAGCCAATACATACTGTTTTTTAAAGAGTTGAATGGCACAATTTTAGTGATAGTGGATCTTGAGGATCATTGACTCCAGGCTTTTTGGGCTTTAGTGCTAATCATGCCTCTATTAGCTGCTGTCAAATTAAAGTTCAGCTAATCTTCGATCTGTTTTACTTCTAGTCTTCGGGTTTCAATTGTTCTGAGAGAAACTCTGCATCTTTATTTGCAAATTAGTTGCTGAAAATGAAATGAAAAGCTAGATTTTCAATATCATTCATGATGTAGAAGTAGGTAAACATGGGCACCAACTGTATGTCTATGCACATGCTTTCTAAAGATTTTAATTTTTCTACTTAAGCAAAACATTATGGTTCTTTTTTAGATATCCAAATCCGTCTACATTCAATTACGAAAGGCGATTCTTTTGTCCTTTTGAGTATGCTCTTCAGCCTCCGCCTTGGTACAAACCTGAGCAGATAGCTGTGAACAAGCCTGAGCTTCCATTTGGGTTATTGGAACTAAAGCGATATGATGGGCCCCAGGCTTTTATAATTCCTGGAAATCATGGTCAGTTTTAGAATCCTTACCTCACCTAAGTTATTAGTTTGGATGCAGAATAGCTCCTTGCATCCTTCTTCTAGTGTTGAAACTAACATCACTAGTTGTGTTCACGTCCTTAGTTGTTTTTGCTCATCAGAAGTTCCGTATATCCTGTGCTATGAGAATAAAACTATTGTTTCATAATATCATGCTTATGTGGTTTACAGATTGGTTTGATGGACTTCATACTTTCATGAGGTACATATGTCATAAGAGCTGGTTAGGTGGGTGGTTTATGCCTCAAAGAAAGAGTTATTTTGCCTTGCAACTTCCTAAAGGATGGTGGGTATTTGGCCTTGATCTGGCGCTGCATTGTGATATTGATGTATACCAATTCAATTTCTTCTCAGAGCTGGTAAAGAACAAGGTACTTTCCTAATTTTTTTTTTCAGTGTTTGGACATTTTACTCTAAAATTCTAAGTGTAAGCAGATATGGTGAAAGCTTCTTGAATTGACTTATCTGGCATAAATATGTATTAGATAGCTCTCATTAGGTATATCTCTGCTACCTCTGGGCATTCTGGTTACCATTTTATAAGATGTTTCGCTGTTTGTTATTCACTATTTGCCTGCAGCCTGACTTGCTATTGAAATTATTTAGTGTTGAACATGCATTCTTCTGTAAGTGGATGCCGATTCTATATTTCTGTACTTTTAAAAGTGACAGACTCTGTCACTTTTATATCAATTAGTAAATTGTGGTAACCTTCAGTTTTGGTCAAAATTTTCTAACCTCTGTGTGATACCTTTTGCTCTTCTATACTTGTTCAGCAGACTCTGTGTGAAGATCTGTTGTATTTTTGGTCTTGGTGCAAGTGTTGAGCACCCGTTTTGCTGCAGCACCTGATTTAGGACCGAGAAGCCCTTGACAACATTTTAGTTATGCATTTACTTAATTTAAGCAGTTCATCTGAATAATGCACACATGTATTCTGTAATGTGGTTATGATTTACGTGCTCTGATAGTTTCTCTGCATCTTGTAGCTAATCTGCGCAAACGTGGACAACAATGTGCATTGAAACATGAAAATGATTTTCTTGTCCATCATCTCATCGAATCAACTTATCTTGAGCTTATCTACTGCAGATTTGTTTCCAGCATTTTGTATTACAGGAAACTTATCTTTTCCACAATTGCTTATTTATGGTGTTTCCTTAATCATTTTTGGTACGTCTATTCACAGCCTTCGGTGACGGGATTATAACTGCAACTTTTTATTGGGGACTAGAACTAGTCTATGACTCCTACATTACGCATGAATCTTACCAGCTCTATCAGTGCCATTCTCTCTTGATACAGTAAATATCTTATTCCACCTTGAATGCAGGTTGCAGATGATGACTCTGTGATCATAATGACACATGAACCTAACTGGCTTCTTGATTGGTACTGCAATGATGTTTCTGGAAATAATGTCTCTCACTTGATATGTGACTATTTGAAGGGAAGGTGTAAACTTCGAATTGCTGGGGATTTGCACTATTATATGCGTCATTCATATGTACCTTCAGGTAGTCCAGTTTATGTGCAACATCTACTTGTCAATGGATGTGGTGGGGCATTTTTACACCCAACACATGTATTTGGCAACTTTATGCGATTTTGTGGAGCTAAATATGAGACCAAGGCGGCTTATCCTTCTTTTGAAGATTCAAGCAGGGTAATGTGGTGAAGTATCTAGCTCCACTAACCAATTTGTCTCAAGTTACAAGGCAATATCTTGTTTTTACTTGGTTACCTTGCAGATTGCTTTAGGGAACATTTTGAAATTCAGAAAGAAAAACTGGCAGTTCGATATCATTGGTGGTATTATCTACTTCGTACTGACTTTTTCAATGTTCCCACAAGTGAGTATTCCTTTAGTTCAATGAAATATTCTCCACTCAGATTTTTGGTAGACTGCTAGTATGCTATAATTTCTGGTATGCTTTATATGTTCATCCAGCACCGCAGGAGTAGAAATTTTAGAACTTAGGTTGCTTCTCTTTATTTCGAACCACTTTTATCTAAACGAAGCTCCCTGAAAAGAAACTTGCCAGTTCCTCTGCCTGTGCTAGGCTGTTGCTCAATCAAATAGCGATGAGCTGCAGTGCTTACTCAGCTAGCTGCAATTTTTAAATGACTTTGAGCTATTCGCTTATTCATTCATTTTCTCTGCAGTGTAAGCTCAATCACCTTTTTAAAGATGACTCGTTTTCTGGTCATTTGAGGAGCTTCTTTTTCACTGTATGGGCTGCTTTCAAGTACATGCTGGAACACTCTTGTGTGTCCCTAGCAGGTGCTTTGCTATTGCTAATTGCAGCAATCACGTTTGTACCATCGAAAGTGTCCCGAAAGAAACGAGTAATGATTGGGGTACTTCATGTTTCTGTGCACTTGACTGCTGCACTTATTCTTATGCTGCTGATGGAATTGGGTGTAGAGACATGCATCAGGCATAAGCTACTGGCAACTTCAGGTCAGTCCTCTTATTTTCTGCTGTATGTGAGCTTCTTTGGCTATCTTGCTACTATACACACCTCCAAAGTGGTCTGTCTCAGATCAGTTTGTGCTCAATTTTGTCCTATTCTTTCATATTATGGAGAAGTTAGCATTTGTTGATTATGATAAAAAAATTTTGTTGAGAAATCTACTTTGATTGAGCCTCTTTTAGCACATATCATACATCGCCTTTAATTCTTTTGGAGCTTGGCTGTCTTGTCACTGGGAGAGCAAGATATGCACTCTAGTGTTTAAGATGCTGATCTAGATTTGCGTCTTAGGTTATCACACATTGTACCAGTGGTACCGGGAAGTAGAGAGTGAGCACTTTCCAGATCCAACGGGCCTCCGAGCTCGTTTAGAACGATGGACATTGGGTCTTTATCCTGCTTGCATCAAGTATCTAATGTCTGCCTTTGATGTCTTGGAGGTTCAACTCTTGATCTATTCTTCAAGGTGGTGTTTTTCTAATATTAATATTTCATCTCTCATTGTTCTTCTACTACATGCACTTTCTTTGGATTGACTTGCTAGGTCATGGCTGTTACCCGGACAAACATCTGCAAGATGGGATTGGCATCCTTATCTCGGGGTGGTGCTGCAATATATTATGCTTCTGTGTTCCTTTATTTCTGGGTCTTTTCCACTCCTGTTGTCTCTCTAATTTTCGGAAGCTATTTATATATATGCATCAACTGGCTTCATATACACTTTGATGAGGCCTTTTCCTCCCTTCGAATTGCTAATTACAAGGCATTTACACGATTCCACATAAACTCTGATGGTGATCTTGAAGTCTATACCCTTGCAGTTGATAAGGTAACTGGTTAGAACTCTCTGCTGCTTTATTTATGTAGATGGTAAGCTCTTCGGTTGATTATGAAAAATGTCAATTATTTGTCTTTTTCATAATGAATTGTTTCCATCTAAAAGGGGGGATCATGTCACTATGCTTCGTCAGAACAAATGTTAAAAAGTGAAACAGAACAGTTTACAGGGCATGCGTTGCATCATAATTGAACTGAAAACTATTCTCGATTTTATTCTACTTGATGACTCTCCTACATGGCACTCTTATATTGAACACGTTTGAAGTACCTGATTAAGGAGAACTGGAAGCTGTTTTCTTTGCTGAACACAGGTTTCAAGATTTTTAGGTAAGTGCATTGTCTTGTGAAATGGTCAAATCTTTTACGGGATGGTAATGTCTGCACTTTGATGTGGATTCAGTGTTATGATCTATCAATTATTACAATCTAAATTATGGAATTGTCGGAACTTAAGATGAGATGAGATGCGCTGGATACCTATTTATTGAATTAAAGGTGGAACTCTAAAGAAATGTGGAGTTTTCTGTTCATTTCAACAACTGGCAATTTTAATTATACTTTGGAATTTCATGGTAAGACCAGAAATTTGTTGCATGTGTTGGTAATATAATACCTTTGGATGATTATCTCTCAGTGACTCAGTGTTCGATGGTGGTTGGTATATCCTTTTACTTATTGCAATTAAGACATAGCACTGATTGTTGTGAGACCATATTACTAGCATTAAGGAGACTTTAGAAATTCTATGTTGAGTCAAGTTAAGATTTCTGATTGATAACAAAAGTTAAAAGAGAGTCTTGTGTTTCATTCTCTTTTACTTTGATTGGCATTGCTGTTGGTTTTTGTATGCTTGGATGCAAATTTGTCGTAGACTGTTCTCTCTGTCTGTTTGTCTGTCTGTCTGTCTCTCTTTCTCTCTCTCTCTCTCTCTCTGAATGTTGACAACCACTTGCCATTTACGATAGTTCCGAATTCTATCCAACTATCACTTTTGCCTGTTGAGTCTATCCTCTGGTTCGAAGTCTTACAATGCTTTTGAGCTCATTGTGGAACTATGAACCACCAATGAAAACAGCATGTGTCAGAAGTTAAGCGTAGTACTTCATTTTGCCTTTTAATGCAGGTTCCAAAGGAATGGAAGCTGGATCCCGATTGGGATGGTGAGCCAAAACAACCCCAGCAATTAAGCCACCTCAAGAAGTTTCCTAGTAAATGGAGTTCAGCTGCTCCCTTTCAGGATCCTGTAAATACAGTAAGAATTGTTGACCACTTTGTCATAGAGCGAGCAGAAAAACAGCATTTGGAACATGCGATGGGTTAGTAATTCACTGAGCATTATCATGGGCAGTCGTTGCAATATGTCATCACGGACGAGCAAAGAAAAGGGTTTATAAGGGGTCAATCGTAGACGTGCATTTGACTCATTGCTTACCTGTATGTCGCGAGCATTTTTCGCCTACGGATCTGTTTGGCGTCTCCGAATGCTGGCTGTGTTCTCCGCAATTCTGGTTCACCATTTATGAGCCAAGAATATGAGTGAGGCACCACATCCTGGAAGCTCATACTTTTCTTGTTGGACCTAATGGAAACAAATTATATAGTTGTCCAAAACGGTTGCGGATGCTCTGCTGCTTCGGTTCTGTCATCTCGTCAGACTATGAGCTGGCTAATTCAGGAACCGAATGGACTACTTACTGTGGTGATTTAGCTTGGGTGCTATTTAGCTCTCACTAGGAGTACAATTCAGTAAGACCGTAGATATATGAATCATCAGAATCGTGATTCTGTCGCTAGAGAGGAGCTTACTAAATGTTCACTTCTTGTTATATTACTGTCTAACTTTGTGGAAAGTACAACGGAATGATGCTTCTTTATCTCTTTGAGGAAAACGAAGCTGTGATGTACTTTATTGGATAGAGGAATGATATCAATGTACCATTGGACTCAGCTTTTTCTTTGTTGGTTCCGCGAGTGAAAAAGGCCTAGGGAAAGCTATTGAATCTTATTGCCATAAGAGGAAAATACGGCAGGAGAGAGAGAGAGAGAGAGAGAGAGAGATTAATTTATCTCTTTTCATCGCTCATCAAGTGGAGGCAAGTCAAGTCACTTCCTATCAACACATGGGAGCGAAACACGAAACGAGCAAAACAAATACCCATCAATATCCCAATTCCCAATTGAGGTAAAGGTGTGAATGCCTAAACCTGGGAGATCATCCTCGTGAAAAGATTTTAACCGAATATTGTAGATGGACTCATCACCCCAAGCGCCAACACTCTCTATAGAACGCTATCTGAAAGGAATTGTTGGGCAACTTTTAACAAAATCCCCTTCATGCTGTAAGGCCACTCTTCTATGTACTCCTTCAAGGGATTGCAATTTACTGAGGTAAATTATGGGTACAACGTCCAACATTCACTTGCTCAAGATGCAAAGAACATTTTGCTGTTTCCGGTGTTGAAGGCTATGGTATTTTTGACAAGATTTTTCATTTCAGGAGTCTGCATGAACAATCTATCTCTTGTTCTTTTAACCAAGTGGCTCCACATATGCTCCAGCACAAAGGAATAGTTTCTGCCACTTGCAACGCCCGCTGCGGACAAAGTGCAGAGGAACAACGACAACTTTAAAAAGCCAAAAGGCTTATCCTGTTATCTAATTCCGGGTCTCTCCCCATCACCAGACGCGGACACATAACAAGTAACGGGAGCGACGAAAGTTGAGACATTGACGTTAGAGGATGGCATTCTCTCAGCTTACACCTTTTCAGTAGGGACCTCTGTGTCTCTCTCCCCTTCATATATGTATCTTTGGCCTTTTTGTTTTTCTTTGCTTTGTGAGGGGGTTACTGCTTTCTCGGGCCACGGTTGGGTCCATCCATCCCCAGAAAGAGATGCTTAATCTCGCCCAAACAGATTAATCACACGCTGGAAAGATTTGCTCAAGGGGTAATTGCGTTTTAACCATCCATGTCCATGTTGCACTGCCCTATCAGGATCCAATATCGGGAACTCGACCGGTGTGCTCATGCTTTCTTATATTGTTGCTCACTGCATCCATACAGTGCAGCTTGTGCCCCATGGCCCTTTTAAATCTACTGATGCGCAGTGGCTCATCATTGTATCATGAAAGGAGTCATCAAAGTTTACCTGGTCTTCCACAAGATTTTAGCTGGTCATAGTGTTTGATGATGTTGACCGGGTCGCTATATTGCCTTTTTCCTGCTCAGTACTTGACAGACAATGCACATTGCACCATCAAATGTTGCTGACTCATTCCGATGCACTCGTGAAAGTTATTGCTTACGACATCGACTCGACGGGCCGGACGAGTGCCTATACTGGTAAAAGTTACATGAGATACTTTCTCGCCGATTGAGCATTACCCTAAACCAGGGTGCTATGTGAGCATGAGGCAGAATTCCGTCGTTTCATGTCCAAAAAGACTGATTTTGCTTTTTCGTGTCAGTAAATTTCAATAAGTATTGCTAAGTATAAAAAATGGTAAAGAAGTTGTTCGGTGACTTTATCCCATGCAACATGTTGGTAATTTATCAATAGTTTTAGGCGATTATCAACTTTTTCCCATAGTTTACAAATTACTAATTTTTGCAGTAACTTTCCAATTTTCATTTTCATAACTTGCCAACATTTTGAATTGCTACCTCTTATATGAAAATACCAACACTAAATGAAAGTGGCCTATCAACTTTTATCGGATTAAATTACCAACTAATTTGGGTTACCAACTGCCATTTGAGTTACTATCACTGTTTAATTATTATTTTTCTTTTGAAACTTACCAGCTTTTCCATCGAGTGACCAACTTTATTTGTCTTGAATACCAACCCCTTAACTTTATTTTTTAAAATATTAGCAACATTAACTAGCGTGACTCGCCAACCTTTCTCCCATTAAATTACCATGTAATATGAGACCAAGGTTAACTCTCGTTTTAGTTACTTATAGGTATTTATTCATTTGTTTTAATTTGCCAACTTTTCTTATAACCTACAAACTTTTATTTGATTTTCTGAGCAACACTTAAATTTACCAACGGCTGTTAGAAATTGTTTAGTAAAGCTCTTTTTAGAAATTTCCAACTTTGGTGATAATACGTAAAAAGAGTGGGCACATTTAAAAATTTGGTGAGTGAGGGCGATAAAAGTTGGTAACTTAAAAAATATTCGGAAGTTGAAAAAAATAAAATAAAACTAATAACTCAAATGAGAGTTTTTAACCTACGAGTAGTTGGTAAGTCAATCGTAAAAAGTTAGTAAGTCACTAGAAAATAGTTGGTAATTTTCTATGAGAGTTGTTAACTTATTAGAAACATTGTAAGTAAGACAAATAAAAGTTGATAACTTCAGAGAAAAGTTGGTACTTTAAAATAATCAAATGAAAATCGATAAGTAACTCCAAGAAAAACTGACAATGAGCCAGTAAGAGGGCGTTTGGCAAGTTGCCAAATAGTGAAAATTTCTATTCTTTTATTTCCAAAATCAGTTTGGGAACAGAAATTGTTAAAATTTTTGTGCCCGGACACAAATTTGCAAAAAATTGTTCCCAGAATCAGTTTGGAAACAGAATTAAGAAGCAAAAAAAAGTAGCTTCTTGATTCTGGAACAATTTTTCCATTTCTGATTCTTCTTGGTTTTCTTCTTCCTTTTTGGTTTGTTCTTCTTCTTTTCGGTTTGCCGCCAGCCGGCCACGGGCGACCGGCCAGGGTCGACGAGGGCGACTCACGGCCGCGACGGCGAGGCCTCGCCCAGCCATGGCGAGGTCAACCTTGCCGTTGCCACCCCCGGTGATGGCAAGGTCGGCCTCGCCATGGTCGGGCGAGGCTCGACCTCGCCCAGATCTGGCGAGGTCGACCTTGCCGTCGCCGGCCCTGGCCTGTGGTGGGTCGTCGGTGCCGGCGACTGACCATAGCCAAGGAAGGGAAGGAAAAACAAGAAAAAAAGAAAGAAAAAAGAAAGAAAGAAATATAAAAAATTTCAAAGTATTATTAAAATATTATTAATAAAAAGAAATTTGTGTAGTTACCAAACGCATTTATGTTCTTTTTCTATTCTAAGAATAGAAATTTTGGGCAGCTACCAAACGCCTTCAAATGCTTAGAAACTGTTCCCGGGCACAGAATAAAAAAGAATCATTTCTGAGCAGAATCAGTTTCCGGGTATAGAATCATTGCCATATGCACCCTAAGTCAATCATAGAAAAATTGGAAAGTAGCTAAAAAAAAAAGTTGTCAAATTTTCTAGGAGAGTTGGTAACTTATTAAAAATGTTGGTAAGTGAAACAAATAAAATTTGGTAACTACGAGAAAGGTTGGTAATTTAAAAAAAAAGGGGCTTACAGTTGATAAAAGTTTGTAACCTAAAAGTAGTTGGTAAGTTAATCATAGAAAAGTCAGTAAGTCACTTTAAAAAGTGCGCAATTTTCTATAAGAGTTGGCAATTTATCAGAAAAGGTTGGTAAGTAAGGCAAATAAAAGTTGGTAATTTAAACGAAATTTTGGTAATTTAAAATAATCAAATGAAAATTGGTAAGTAAGTGAAAGGTGAATCGGTAACTTAAAAGTAGTCAATAAGTCAGTCATGGAAATGTTGATGAGTCACTCAAATAAAAGTTGATATTTTGCTTTGAGAGTTTGTAACATATCAAGACATTGATAAGCAAACTGAATGAAAGTTGGTAAGTTACAACAGAAGTTAAAAAATTTTAAAAATCACATAAATGTTTGCAAGCAACCCAAATGAAAGTTGGTAACTTAAAAGTAATGGCAAATTAATCAGAGAAAGGTTCGCAAGACACTCAGATAGACACCCGTAAAGAGTTGGTAAATTTGAAGCATCGGTAAGTTATATAAATAAAAATTGGAAATTTTTTAACAATTAAAAAAGGTGGTAAATCCTAAAAGTGCGAGTAACATAGTATTAGCTTATCAGAAAAAGTCAACTGTCATTCTTGTTACCAACATTTCGTAAATCTTTCCAGCATGGAAAATTTTCGTTTTTTGAGCACGAAATAGTAGAATTGTTCGGAGTTGGTTTTTAAAAAATAAAACAAACGTAGGTAGCTAACTTCAATAGAGGTTGTAACACAAATTAGTTTGTAACTTAATCATAGAAAAGTTTGTAATCACTCTAATTAAGTTTGGTAATTGCTAAAAAGAGTTGGTAAATTTTATGGTTTAGTAAGCAAGAGAAATAAAAGTTAATAACTCAAAAGAAAAAATTGCTAATTTAAAAAAAAAACTTTGGTAAGTAACTTAAACTAGTTAGTTATCTAATAGCAGATAAGCTGACGATAAGTCAAACAAATAAATGTTGGTATAGTTAAGGTATTTGCAAAAATGTCAGTAAAAGTTGACAAGTGATAACAAAAGTTGATGAGTTAAAAATAATAATAAATAAACGTAGTTAAGTTACTTAAATGAGAATTAATAACCCAAAAATAGTTGGTAATTTAATGGAAGAAAGTAGGTAAGTCACTAAAATACAAATTGTTAAAATCATATAAGAGCCAGTAAATTTTAAACGTTTGATAAGAGATACAAATAAAAGTTAGTAATTTGCAAACTATAAATGAAAAATCGATAATTTCACGAAAGTGTCTAGAAGTTACCAACGGTGTCTAGAAGTTACCAACAAAAAAACCAAGATATTATGCGGTCGATAATTTTTTTACTACTAGTTTTTTACACTTACCGACCCTTTCGGGAATTTAACATTACGGGAAAATGAGTAACGTCGATTGCACTTTGCACACGCGACAAGGATCTTCGAATCCCCTTACAAAGAGAAAACTCTCGCTATTCGTTTCGTAACATTACACGGTCGACATCCGGACCGCATCCGAATTTCTGATTCCCCTCGGGGCGAAATCCACGAGGCCGAGCGCCTCGCGACAGGGGTTGGGGCGAAGGGCGACCGACGTGTACCG